ATCTGTTCCCCTGGCACTCGGGGACCCCTTCCCTTGCCCCGCATAGACCTGTTCCCTGCCCTGCATAGACCCCCCTCCCCATGGCACTCGGAGACCTTCCTCCTTACAGGCACTTTTCTCCTCTGGAGCTCTCTCTTACTGACATCACAGCCCCCAAAAGAGACAGGGATCTAGATCAGGAAGCCTGCTACTCAGACACGCAGCAATAGTTGCGAGAAAAGCATAGAATTTGGCAGGACAAGTCCACAAGCCTAATGATAGAGACGTTTCTGTATCTACTGGTTATGTAACCTCTCTGTTATACTCATACACACTGACACTCTCCTACAGAAAGAGCGATACAGAGTGGGAAGGAGGTCTGCACCATACAGATCTCTATGGAGATACCCTCTTCATGCACACACTATACACACACATATAGTCAGAGAGAAAAACGTATGGTAATTGTGCTGGTACTCAAATCTAGAGAGAGAACAGGTTTTTCTTAAGTGATAGATTGGATTACTGGGTCTCAATATACCATCAAATATTTGTTTTCTCAGGAAGAGTTGGGAAACGTTGTGGAATTCTGGAATCTACAGTAAAAGGTAAGTGGAAGTTTGGCGTTTCTTTGGGCAGAGATTCTCTAATGTAATTACTGTTTTATTCACTTAGCTGATTGCCACTAGGGAATGTGTGAAGAGAACGATTAACAGGGACAGAACACTCATAATGGCAACCTTTGTGTGCCATTTTCAAGAGTTAATTATATTTGCACCTGGTTAGTGCAAATTGTTTTTCCCTTCATGATTGAGTGTGTAGTCCTTGCTTTTTGTTCTAATCTGAGAAATAACTGGTAAACAGTGTAATCATTACTTAATTGTAGATTTTGCTATAACGCCATTTTTTGGGGCAATGTACACATGTTGAAATGATTTACCACATTTTGCTTTGTATGGGCATAAGCCTGGGTTTGTAGCATAATACCGACCAATTTTAAAATGGGCTTACTTAGAAGAATCTTCTGTTAGTATGTAAATATTTTATTTCTTTTGGGATTTCAAATTTTGCTTTTGTTATTAAGATGCTCAAGTAGAGGGTGAAGACTGGAGTTTTAGTAGGAATTCCACGATCATATTATTAATAGTGAAACTGTTCTGGGTAGAAAGCCAACGGATTAATCTAGACTGTCTCTACCTGGTTTCAGAGGTTAATATTTTTCACTGATATAAGATCTGTAAGATCCAGGGCCGCCTCTTTTGTACTGTGGATACAGTGTCAGAGCTGGGAGAGGCAAACATGTTTGCTTTCTTTGGTTGGGTTTTTCATAGCTTGGAAAGTGAAGGGTTTGAGTACATAAGGAGAGCTTCATTTATCTCTACCTGTGAAATGCTTCCCTTCCTATTGTGGCTAGTGAATGTTGTTGGGGACTTGCCTGAGGTTCGTTACTGCTGAAGATTGATGTTTCCCTCAGGGAGTTAAAGTTGCAGGTGATCTTTAACCATATTGTATTCCAACCTTGTTTTTAATTGAGGGGGAAGTTATGATAAGCTTCTGATTCCTTGGAACTTTTTTGATTCTGCATTCATGGAGTTCTGCGTGCTTAAAGAAATATTAACTCCTGAATTGTATAAACTGTTCAAGTGTTTCTTATATGCTCTAGAAATAACTATAAAGTAGTGATAATCATTTTCTGAAAACAAAATTAATTATTTGGAGAATAAGTGTATTATCTGTTATAAAGGTACAAGAACATGTATAACTAGGATTTTGAACTTGAAAAACAGTTTAGCAGATTTTAATATAAAGACACCATTCTGTGTGGGAGAACAGCACTTTTATGTAAGTAGAATGTTGTTAGGCAGCACAACCATACCATATGAAATTCTTATCTGAATAGAACTATAGTAGCGGTCTGTGGAGCAGAAAATGAAGAAACCTTGAGCAGAGCATATTATTATGCACAATAATCATAGATAATTTATAAACTTTCTACATTCTTGTAAGACATGCTCTGGTTTATCTACCACAACAAAAGGTTAATGTCTCATAAGAAAACTTCTTGTGCTGCAATTAGCATTCTTCTGCCAGCTGTGTGCTCTTGTGTCAGACCTAATGCATTTGAGTGCAAGGTTTCTTTTTTCTGTTCAGTGGGAGCAGACAGAGAAGACAGAGATGGTATATTGGAAATGCTTTCTTTGGCACACACTGTTCTAAAATTTTGTGTACAGCTATTGTACAATAAGAACAATAATAAATATGCAGCTAGAAGGATATAATTGCCCAAGAAATGATGCGGCCACTTTCAAACTCAAATACAATATCACATTCTTTGCTTTATGCCCATATAATGTAATCAGGGCCCCATGTACTCTGTACAACGCTTGAACTGAATTCCCCCTCAATGTCAGTTTATTCTCCTGCCATGAAATATCCTTCATTCCTAACCCAGCCCTCCCAAAAAACCTCTGGCTCATATTTGAAAATACTAATAGATGTAAAATTCACCAACAATTATTTTCATTAAGGGATTTTTTTTTCTGTAGGCTGCCTAAGTCGACTCACTGGCACAGAACTGCATTTCCCCCCCCATGTTTACCATGAAAGTAGGAATTTTTAGTTTCAGTAACCCCTTTCCCTGGTCCTTGCTGCTCTAGTCTCCAGGCAGCCCAGCTTACCACCTATGCTTCTAGTTTCCCCTCATTCTCTGGCTGCAAGCTGCCCTCCAGATCTGGTTCCCTGACTCCTTGTTACATGGGTCCGTAGAACAATGCAGGGAGCTCACACTGTAATCCAGTACTCCCTTTTTGGTAGCTGCAAAACTGTCCCAGAAGAGCAGGGATACAGAAAACAAAATGTCAGGTGATTGGCTGCTGTAAAATGGTGAATGCTGTTTAAAAATCCTGAATTCTGTGGCGTCCTAGGAAATTGCCAAATTCTGTGGATGAAGAATAGGTTCATATTTGGAAGGTTATCTTCAAAACTATTATTTTTTAAAACCAGTTTTCTATTTATTAAAATGAAAATTCTGCAGAAGTTGATGGCATTTACGCAGGAAAGCTTTCTAATTGTCCCGGGTGAGAGTCCACTGGATTTTAGTGGACTAAAATAAGTAGACTTTGTGATGGAAATACCTTAGGTTAACTTATCATAAGTTAAAGATTGATTATTTTTTAATGGTGAAAATGTATCCAATATAATTTCTTACAGATCTTACCTGCTAATTAAATGTTAAGTATTTGTATGTACAGAGGACTGTTCTTGTATGGGCTGTATCAGTTACACTGGTATAATTTAGCCATATGTTATAGATGCATAACTAACACTGCAGCAAGATATGGAGACTCATGACCAATTAGTTGAAATAACTGTAAGAAAGTGGGAGGAGTTCTTCCAAACAAATGTCTCTTTGGGTGAGGGTTGGAACAGACAAGTCACCAAATGTCCCAGTGTGTGCTACCAAAGTAGGACACACACTTAGTATCACTACTCGAGTATTTTGCTTATTTCTATCTTAGATTTAATAAAAGCCAAGGTGGGAGGTTTTAAAAAATGGGCATCTGCCACCTTTTAGGGGTCTCCTTATTTGCTTTGAATCCTTGGACCCTCCTGTTAAATGACATACTTGGGCTAGCCAGTAATTTAAAAATACTTGATTCTGGGAATATACTTGCACAGTCTCATCTTGATACACAGGAGTTATACATCTCAAATGGCTACTTAGATACAGATTCAGTGCAATATTGGCTTACTTCATCCTGTTCAGGGAAAAGATTTTCTAACTAAATTGGAAAAGGTATTAGAGTCCCTTTTTAATTAGACTTAATATTGTTTTAATAACTAGCAGACCTAAAATTAGCCTACCAGCCAACTTAGTTTTGGTGTGTGGGTCTTTACATGACCAGGTATGTGCATGTCACTGCATCTCTACAATCTGCCTGCACTATTCTGGTGAGCAGCAGGATATTAAGAAACACAAAAATCTTGCTCTTCAAGATCTGTGTATACAATGTATATTGGGAATCATGGGTTTCCAGTCCCTTGGTTGGGACATCTGTAATTTTGGGAACCATGGGTTTGTCAGACGCCTGACCTAAAGTGAGTTATTCCAGCAGGGAATGAAATTAAAAAGCATCGCGCTACTCATATGTCAGATATTTGCAGTGTTTGCAATCAATTGTTTTAATTACAGGGGAAGCATCTGTGTACAGCTATGTTTATGCCATGGGGCAAAGTGTAGTGGACGCTAATAATATATACTCACACTACTGCAAAGGTTATGTTAACTGTATTACCGTGTGTGTGTCTTTTTAACTTGAAATGTTTTGTTTTGTATGCTGGTTTATATGGCAAGTCATTCCTTCCTCTAGGAGAGAGTCTGTGCAAGGAACTGTATAGTGCAGATGAGATTCATAATTCTATTTTTAAATAGATTAGTTGGTTGATGCTGATAGTGATTCTTTTTTGTGCAGTTTATCACACATTGAATGCGTAGGATAAAGAAGGCCTCTACCCAGATGTTTGAGTGCCTCTGAGGATTCTTGTGTTGAAACATGGAGAATGACAGGTAGTGTTCTTTACTTGTATTAGATGTGCTGTGGTTCTAGTAGTAGTAATACCTTGTACTACTAGAACCTTGAGGTTTTAAGGTCAGGCTTGACAAAGCCCTGGCTGGGATGATTTAGTTGTGGATTGGTCCTGTTTTGAGCAGGGGGTTGGAGTAGGTGACCTCCTGAGGTCCCTTCCAACCCTGATATTCTATGATTGTACTTAGTCAGCTAAGGATCTCAAAGCACTTTATAAAGGTAGGTAAGTATATCCCAGTCTTACAGATTAGGAATTCAGATATAGAGGTACTAAGTGTTTTGCTCAAGGTCATACATTGGTTTATTGGAGATGTGGGCAATAGAAATGAAGGGTGAAATCGTGGCTCCATTGAAGTCAGTTGATTGTTTTTACCATTGATTTCATTGAACTCGGTATTTCACACTAGGTCTTCAAGCTCCTGTCCTAACCACTAGACATATTGCCTTGCTGAAAGTACCTGAAAGTAAACTTCAGCAGGTGTCAATAATAAATGCTTTTTGTTCCATAGCCCTGACATATGTTGTTTGTTGTAGAACCGTAGTAGTACAAGCAGTTGCCCAATATAGCATTTATTTTGTTATGGGAGAAAAATGTTTTTCCAAACTCTGTTATAATAAAACTTCTCTAGGAACAACAACGGGATAAATGAATCCTTGGTGATACTCCATGTACTTCACTGGAGTTACACCAGGAATGATTTTAAATCAGTGAGTCCATTAAACAAAATAATGTGTCCCTCAGTGTAGAAATTGTAAGAAAAACTAACAAAGCACCAGCATAATACAACCAATTGAAGGATTCAGGCTTTTAACTGGAAAATTCAACAATTTTATCCTTTTTAGACTGTTATTCTGTTGGTCCAGAAGCTGGTCAAAGGGGAGCAGGGGGAATTTAGAGCCACAGTAGAAAATGACCAGTTTCCTCTGCTTTTTCAGCCTTTTATTCTTGTTTCTTCATAGCTAGGAATCAGTTTTGTTCAAAATTCTTGGGCTGTAGCAGGTTTCTTCTAAATACTTAATTA